TGGCCAAATTAAATAAAATGGAACCAAACCCAAGTAGTTAACTCAGGACAAATATTGCTCTCTTCCAAATTACGAATTTGTTAACTTAGTCAAACCCTAAATCATATTATAAGAATTTTCATATTCAGGAAAAACTAATCAGAGAAAAAAACAAAAAGTTAGACCTCCTAATAAAATATTTTTAACTCTCTAAGATATTTAGTTTTAAGATATAAACTGAATCTCTTAACAACAATACAAAATAGTTACACCTCGGTTGTTGTCGCACACACATAGTCACATATATTATGTGTACGTAATCCGTTATTCAAGTGTTCTCGAGAAAGACGATCCACACATTAAACTCATATAACATATTGATCGATCTATCTGTATATCTACTATACCTCTAGTTCTTTCCCGACAATAATAATTAATTATATCATTTGTTGGATATTTTATTTCTTCTTTTATTCGTACTTAATATCTCACTTCCATAAGTGATACAAGTCTGAAAGTGTAAGACTTCGCTCCTAGCAAAAAAAGAAAAAGCACTTTCTATTTTCTGCTTTGAACATTGCTTAAGTTCTTGATATTTTTACGTATCAGAAACGGTAGATGAAATGTTGGATAAGTTGAAGAAGAGAACCAAGCCGGAACACAAGTACTATGTATGAAGTTCTCTAAACTCTTTTGCGATTACTGATGAAAGTTCAGTCTCTTGTCTTCCTCACGGATATGTTTATCTTGCTATTAAAAAAGCTTTAGTAAGTTTACTGTGTTTTTTTCTTTTTATATCAAAGTTTTAGTGCGTTAAAAATATAATAAAATCAAATATGAAATTTAAATAACCAATATGGATAAGGGATTTAGGAAACAAAAACAAAAACTACAAATATAACTAATTATATCGATTTTGTTGGTATAAATTGAAGAATTTGAGCTTATGTGAAATTTAGACGCAAACTCAGTCATGAAAATTAATAGGCTACAAGGTAAAAAAGTTTTGCCCCATTAGTTAGTAAGACTGTAAAAAGAAAAATGTAGAAAGAAGAATTTGAAACCCCCACTTTTACGTTTCTCTAAAGGCGGAAGACCAGTGCCGTTACACTTATACTTACTAAAGCAACTCCGTGCTATTTCGGGATTTTGAAAATCGTTGTCCATATGTTGGCAAAAATGATCATCAATAACAAAGTCACAAGTGCAGTGACAATGACCTTGTACGCCAAGAGTGGATGAATCCTCCAACGCAGAGCGGAACAAGACCTCCAAACAAAATCTAGGGCACATATGATGCTGCTTTAAGCAAAGTAGGTTGGAAATCTGCATTTTCTGCTTGCATAGACAAATAAGATCAAATTAAAAAAGCTAGTAAATTCAAGTTTTAGTTATATATTTTTTACTTACTATAGATATATAGGTGACGATGTTGTTAAACACCGTCTCAATAAATCAGTCCACCCAAACTCGCAAGCGCACTCATGCCAGTGATCTTCACGTTATCATTCGCATGTGTCATAACGTAAGGGGAAATCGACATGAAACTACCTATAAGGGATCCAAGCTCTTCTCCCGTAGTAGATGATGTCACATACTCAAATAAATATTTGAAATTAATAGGTTCTCATGTAAATTCACTTGTCAACCAAATTGGCAGTAATAGATAATGTCACATACTCAAATAAATATTTGAAATTAATGAGTTCTCATGTGAATTCACTTGCCAACCAAATTGGCTCTACAATTGAGAAGATATGTAATAATGTAGTACACACATATATCTCAAATCACATGTGGATGTAAGTATGTTGTTTTCACTATTCTTTTCTCAAATGTTAACTAATTCCGATAGTTTTAATATGAAATAGAGTTTTAATGGTGTAAGTGAAAAATTAGAAAAAATTGTACAAAATATGTTATTTGAATCATTTTCATTGGATTGCTTTCCATCTTGATTATTTGCTACACTAATTAAACTTGATCGCATCTACTTCTTTTCATCCTAATCTACTTCTTTTCAAAACAAGTAAATCATTCTCTTTTGCCACTAATAACGGTATTTATTGATTGTAGCCAAAAAGAAAACTTAAGTCTTGATCATCATCAAACAAAACCAAGATACCAAAAAGTAATCAGAAACTTTTTAAAAACAAACAAAACAAGTTGCTCAGCATCCTTCTCTACATCATGATACTTAATCATTCCTGCAAAATTCACTTCATCAGCTCACGAATCTCTCTGCTCAAACACAGTTAAGGAAAATCCGTTTATTACTTACCTTTAGAGCAATTGGACTAGATCAAATTGTTCAACCAAACTCCATTCTTTACCTGCAAATTTTATTTCTTCAAATTGATTAAAGATCTTTCTTTACTTTCTGTGAGTAGGATTTAGATTTAGGTACGACGGTACGAGATTTTTTCTTTTTGCTGAAAATTTTGCATATAAAAAAGGCCCAAATATTTTTAAAAATTATCATTAATATGAGAATTATATTTCAAAAGGCCTAATTTTTTATATAGAAAAGTATAAAATTACTAAAAAAAATTTAAATAACAATTTTTACTATAAAAAAAACCGCAAATTTTTGAAAAAAATATTCAATTTTCTTTTGTTTTTATAATAAATAGGCCAAATTTTTTTTTTGCCTTATAGCTCCTAATGTATTGCGCTAGGGCTGCATAAACTCTGTGTGTCTTTTTAGTATTGTATTATCTTGTTAGTCAGATGTGTGAGCTTCTAAGTAAGATATGAGAGATTCTCATTCAGATGTGGGAGTCCTACTGCCAAGAAGATACCTACGACTCCCAATGCGACAACAAACGATGCCTTTTTTTGTAGGGATATTGTACGATACACTCCAGACATAAGTGAATAGCTTCTTCAAAACCAGTAGTACTGCTACTGTATTGAAATTTGAAGGGTATGTTAACTGATTTTTTTACTATCTATCTTATTATACAAATCTTTCTTTTAGGATCGAATTATTTGGAAGATTGGATAACTTTCTAACGGATATATACAATAACTAAAATCATTTATATTGCTCGGACCGGAATCAATTTAAGAGTCGGTTAAATTGAAAACAATTTCTAACCGATGATATAAAAGAAAATGCAAATGTACATGTTTTATTGGGGAAGAGGAAGATTTACAAATCTCGACATTAAACCCGTCACTTGTTAAAGATATTTCTTACCAATTTTTATTTTTGACATTCTCTATCTATAACTATAACCATTTTAAATGATTTAAATTACCTAATCCTATTACTAACTTAAAATAATTATGCAGAATCTTGTTTAAAATAATTGACTCACTCTCTCTCTCTCGTTCTATTTTTGTGAGACTGTCAGACTTTGTGGGTCTCGTTTTGCTTATTTTGTCTGTCAAACACTAGAAATGGATCCACGCGTTGCTTGGATTTAATAATATATATTCAACTTTTTATAGTTTTGTAAATTACATTATTTTAAATACTTTTTTAGTTACAATACTATTTGAAAACAATATGTAATTCTATAGGTAAAAACGGTTATATAAATATAATAGAAATGTTATATATGATAATTGTATAGATTTACATGTCTAATGTACTACATATATTAAATGTTTTTTTTTTCTTTTTGTATTTGACTTATTATCCTATGACCGTTCATTATATATTTTCTCTTTTAGTGTATGAATTTTTATGCATAACATTTTTTTCTATAATTCTAGAAACTCAAGTTTGATATTTTAAATATTCGCTTTCTCTTTAGGAATTTAGCTTTCTGAGACTATTTTTGTCACTCAATTCCGATATTTCCATATTCTATTATTTTTAAAAAAAAAAGTTTCTATCTTATTTAATTCAATGATGCAATTGTGCTCTTTCTACCTAATTTTAATATTTATAAAATAATATTTTATATTTTAAATAAGTGCATAATATTTGTATTACTATCAAATGCCTTTATACATTTACTTATATAAAATTTTATATTATATTCTATATATATTTTTATATATATATTATATTTTTGATAAGCTAAAAATTAAAAGTATACATAATTATATTTTAGTTTTGTTTTCAATTATTATACACGATACTATTTAATTAGCTACATTTTAACATTTTGTTTATTTTCATTTATAAACTAATCAACTATTATTTTAATTAGTAATATGTCATAAGATTCATCACTAATTCACTATATATTTTTTTGAAACTAAAAAATGTATGTCTTTTTAACTTTCATTCAATTTTAGAAATAGCTAATAAATATATGATAAAATATCCATCATATTAGTAATATGTCGTAAGATTCATCACTAATTCACTATATATTTTTTTGAAAACTAAAAAAAAAATTTCTTTTCAATTTTCATATAATTTTAGAAATAGCTAATCAATGTATGATCTTTCAACTTTCATACAATTTTAGAAATAATCATCATATTAGAAATATGTCATAAGATTCATCACTAATTCACTATATTTTTTTTTGAAAACTAAAAAATGTATGTCTTTTGAACTTTCATTTAATTTCAGAAATAGCTAATAAATATATGAATTTTCAACTTTCATTCAATTTTAGAAATATCCATCATAATGATTTTTAATATATCAATTTTAAAACGAAAATGTTATAAATTTATATATATGATTAATCTTAAACACTTTTTCGCTAAAATTTAAATTATATTATTATGAATAAATTTATATTTCTTTGTTTTTTTACTTATAATATCAATTCATTTGTATTTAAATTAAATATTTTTTAATCATAAATAACAATAAATAAAAATAAGTATGTATTGAATGAACATTTTAAATAAATTATAATTTGTAATTTTTAATTAGATGCATGCTTAGGTGGATGATGATGTGGATAATCTATATAGAGAGTAATCTCCTGTTATATATATAGATTTTATATCTTTTCTGATTTTAGCGTGTTATTATTCTTCATCAACCAAACAAATTTTATCAAATCATTTGCAATCTCTAATCATTTTGTTTATCGAGAAAACTGTTTAGAAGAAATAGACTCCATAGAAAATCTCAAGTTTCGCAACAACAAAAGGAAACGAGTATTACTTCAATCAAACTAAATAATATCTAACACAAAACAGAAGATAATTGAAGAATCAAAACCAAACCAACAGAAAGAGAGGAACAGAGGATATAGCACTAGCCCAAAACCGTTTTTTAATCTTCTTCCTCTGCTTCGTTCTCGGCAATGTTGAAGTACCTCAACTCATAGAGGTTACGGTCCTTGTTTGCCGCAATCACTCTGAGCCAATCCCTCACGTTATGCTTCTTCAAGTACTTCTTTGTCAAGTACTTGAGATATCTGTCACAGACATAAACAAGGAATTACACTTAAGAGACAATCTAAAATCAGGTAAACGAAAGCATTACCAACACTATTCGATATTCTCCATTCAACACCGTACTAACCAACAAGATGAACAAAAGCATTACCAAAACTATTCAAGTTTCCACATTCAACACCGTACTAACAACCAAGATGACCAAAAACATTACTAAAACTATTCAAGATTCTATATTAAACATTGTACCAACCGACAAGATAAACAAAAACAGTACCAACGAACCGACTTTTACATAAACATATACTCGACTCTAAGCGATAAATTAAAGATTCTACATTCAACATTATACCATCCGACAAGATAAACAAAAACATTACCAACCAACCAGTTTTTGCATTGACCTATTCTCAACTCTATGCGATAAATTCAAGATTCTACATTCAACATTATACAAACCGACAAGATAAACAAAAACAGTACCAACACATCGGTTTTTACATTGACTTAAACTCGACTCTACACGATAAATTCAAGATTCTACATTCAAATTGAAGCATTACCAAAACTATTCCTAACGACCAAAGCCACAAATCTAGACACAAGTTAGGTCAAAATCGGTGCATTTGGTTTCAGTTTTAACGATACCTCTTGGAGAATTGACCATCAGAAGTGACAGTAATCTTGCTCTTCTCACGAGTGATAGAAACAGAATCACCAAGAGCACCAGCTTTACCACCAACCTTAATCCTCTCCTGAAGAAACTTCTCTAAAGAAGCAATCTCCATAATCTTATCATCCACAGGCTTCGAACAATCGATAGTGAAGGAAACTCCCTTCTTCTTTCCCTTAGTCGCTGCTGCATTACCACGACTCATTTTCACCTCTGCAAATCCAAAAACAAACTCATTTTCATTATGTAAAATTCGAATCTGAATCTATGTTCGTCGATTACATTTCCAGGAAAACGAAAACTAAACAATAGAGGTAAGGGTTTAAACAACAACAAGAATCGATTCAATGGAAGAATAACGAAGGACGATAATGGTGTACCTGAAGTTGAAGAAGATGGGAACTGTGTGAAGCGAAGAGCGGCGTCTATTGATCTTTGAAAGAGAAGAAGAAAAATGCAATTAGGGTTTTTTGGCTTTTAAGGTGCTCGTGTCATTTTGTGATGATAAATAACAGAAGTGACCCTGATTTATTTGTTTATTCGAGATTAAACCCCGAAACTTTCAGATTCATTTTTAAACCCATTTATTTGTAATGGTTAAGTTTGAAGTTTTTACGATGGATCTTCTAATGGGCCGAGAAACTTGAGGAGTGTGTTGCCCACATTTTTCTTTTGCAACAGTAGGAAAATAACTGAGCCAAATTAGAATCTTCAAAACAATTCCAAATTAATTTATTTTTATTTTTTAACTCTGGATTTATTATTTATTGCAAATTATGAGAACTGTTACATAGACGATTCTACTGACAATTTATTCTACAATTAATTTATTTTATATGATAATTTATTTTATACTTTTAAATAAAATATATAAATTACAAATTTACATGAGAGGGCAAAAAGATGATATAAAGAAACGGATCCAAAATGGAATATCATAAAATATGTAAATATCATAATCAATCTTTTGATATGTGGATTGACGATCTAATAATATTTTTTATACAACATTGATGAACCAAATTATTGCACGATATATTTTGGTTTTTGAACTTATTATATATCGCTAATGTGAATTATGTGATTATGTTAGATACAAAGAATCAATAAAAAGATGATCATTAATATATTTTATACTTTTGAATAAAATATACAAATTACAAATTTACACAAAAGCAAAAAGATGTCATATTCATAAAATTATACATAGGTACATATATAACGGATTGTTACTATGGTTTAATACATCGTTTTGGTGGTCTCTTTGTTGGTCCTCTTCTTCCAGGTGCACGCCTTGAACAACTACCATCTACTTCAATCTCGATTTCTTTGATCATCTTTTGATCCCAGACCTGAGACCCCTACCTCGAATTCTTTCCCAACAAAGAAAACAATCACCTAATCAACTTTTTATATCTTTAAGTTATAAATTTTATAAAATGCAGTTGAAACAATGATTCAGATTGAATAAAATCCGTATCGAAAAAACCAGTACAAAAATTGAAAGGGAGTAGAAAGAGAATGTTTCAGTATTTTTTTTATATATACACAAAGAGACGGTAAAATCAATTAAAATGAATAAATTAAACGATTTTAATTTCGTATTCTTTGAAATTTCTTTGTCTTGAAGATGTATTGCCAAACATAGGATCGAGACCAAAAATTTGTCAAAGTGAAATTGAATAACATTCAGTTATCATTCTATATTGTAACCCAGAAAAAAGTTGAACTACAACAAAACCAAAATCGAGTTGGATATATCAAAATGATCGCAATAAAAAACTTACTTGGCTTTAAAGCTTCATATTGTACTCGGGCCAATTCTGTGTTCGATAATCCAGAGAACAAAAACAAGGACAAAGTTAGCAAGCAAACCACGACGTTACACATTTTTACGTTGTATTAAAATTTTAAAGTATGAATTTCGATATGTAAATCGGTGCATATATATAGAGAAAAATGAACTCAAGTTACGGTATTCAATTGAAAAATTACTAACCCCACGCGCCTGAAATTGTTTTTCTCTCAAATTTTTTTCTCGCCCTTGCCGCAACCTCGAGCGTCTTCTCCGGTGACTGGTGGTTGGTGCCTTCTTTAGCATCACACCGGTCACCCCTCTTTTCTTTTATCGTTGCTCCACTCCGGTGCTTGAGATTCTCGGCCAAGTCTCGATTATGCTATGTTTCTCGCGGCGAGTGTTGGAGATCCGCCGTGCGTGACGGCCTCTTACGGTGGTCGGGATCTTTTCCTCTGTGGCTCTATTGCTTGTCGACGGCGATAGACGAACGGCTGAGTCTTGTTTCCTTCCCTTGCGTCTCGCATCTCGACCGGCGGAGCAAGCCTCGCTTGCAGATCTACTTCTAGATCGTCTCCTTCCTGGTGTTTCTGGTGGCGATAGAAGTTTCTATCGGCGGCGCTATGGTGTCGCTTCTCCGCTTTGCAAGGATTCACATTTTCCAAGCCTCCGCTTGGATTAACCGCCGTGCATTGTCTCGCTTTTTTCGGAGGTTTGTCATCTTTCTGATGGGTTGTTTCGCTTGAGGACGGCCAAATTCCAGAGGTTAGGTGCTACTGTCCCTTCCGCGTGAGTCGATTTCGTGCGTTGGAGTTAGTTTCGCTTTGAGTGGTTTTCAGTGGCTCCGTCGAAGCTTCTCGGCCGTGTTGGTTGTGTTGTTCTTCGTCTTGAGTCGTTGAAGCCTCTACCGCTCTTGTTACTCTCCTTCGCATAGGTTTCAGAGTATCGCTGCTAGTTGGTTTCAGTTTGGGCGTTCTCCTTGACGGCGAGACTAGGCGATTTGATGAACATTTCTCTGTTGGCAACTTCTGCTTGAGGACAGTGGCAGGACTATTAGGAGGATGTTCTGACGTGGCACGTCTGGTTTGTTCACCGTCTCGAATGCTCTTTTTGTGCCTTCAGGTGGCTGCTGTGATGTTTGATTTGTTGATGACTTAGTCGTCGGTGGTGACTTGTTGATCATCTCCAATTGATAACGTCACTTGTATATCTTGACTTGTTGATTTTGCTCAAACCCAGGTTTTGTTTGTGTCTTGCTAGTGTTGTTGCTTTGAGTCGAAGTAGGCTTTGCTTTGAGTACTCGCCTTTTTGCGTTTTGCTTTGTGCTTTAGAGGAGCTAGTAAGGCTTTTGACGATTCGGTGTGGTTGTGCTTTGTGTTATCTTGCTCTGTGCTAGCTGACTTCGGGGAATGAACTTGGTAGAGGGAGCTCGTACCGTTTCGCATATTTTGGCTTGTGAGGTTCCGTTCAGGGAAAGCTCATGGATATGTTCGCAGAACCGCTCTCACATGACGGGAGGAGTATGTGATCGAGGGCTTTGAGTTCTATGCCGTTGACGGCTCGGTCTCGGACCTCCTTTGAAAGGCTTCTGAAGCTAAGCGTCCTGTGAATCTAGGTGTTTACAATTTGCAGTCGCCCTTCTTCTTCAGCAACTAATCCGGGAAGAACAATAAAATCGTCATCGCTTCATCTAACTCCCTTAGCCTCGTTGCTTTGGTTGAGTGGATGGACCGAGTTCTTTGGCTTCCAAATTATGCTTCCATGTTTTAATTTTTTTTGCCATGGGACCATTTGTATAGGTCTATAATCTTTGATTGTAAACCTAAACTGTTTTCATTTTCTATGAAATATTTACCTTCTTAGCAAAAAAAAAAAAAAAAAAAAAAAAGTTACGGTATTCATTTATATATATAATTTTTGAGAAATGAAGTCAGATCACGCGGATTGGTGCTATGGACATATGATTTATATATATATATATATTTCTTTTGTTTTGTTCAACTGACTGTATCATTTTTCTCTAAACATGTTAGTTTTTTTTTATCAAAAAACATGTTAGTTTATGTGTTGAAAATGTACTGCTAGAAGAAAAAAACTTATGTGTTGACAATGCGTATTTGACTCTTGAAAATGTCTTATCTGAACTGGTCTAACATATTATTATTATTATTATTTCATTATTTTGTGGAGGTCCAGGTTCTAATTAGTTTACATTGGCTACAATACATCTGTGTTATATTTTTTTAAAAAAAAAATTACAATACATCTATGCTAACAAAACAAAGAGACAAAAATTCAAATGGGCATTACGCTAAACAGCAAAAGCTTTGTATCTTGAATGCATTTATTAAACTTGATTGCGTTGCTTACTTACGATTTGTAAGCTTCTTGCAGCGATGAAGTTCAGATTACCACCTTCAACCGTCACTTATCCTAGTGGTTCTCATACCTCTTGTGAGGTTTTAGACATATATTAATATGACACACCAATTCAGATCACATACAAGTATACTAACTTTAACGAGTCCCGGGTACAATGAATCTCGTGTGGGGCTCTTACCCACAAACCTCCACTAGAATCGAAAAGAGTTGAAGGTTTGTGCCACGACCTCTAATTTCTCTCTTTAGACGTTCCTAGATCACTATTACATCATCTAATGGAGAGAGAGAGAGAGAGAATCACGAAAAGGAAGAAGAAGAAGAAGAAGCATGTAAACGATACAATCAGAAAATAGAAGGGAAAAGTGACTGTACTACTCTGGCTTACATGCTCTGTTTTTTTTTTGTAACTAACACCTACCAAATTTTAGCAACGTGTGAAATTATTTAGTGTTATTAAACGGTCGAAAATTTATCAATTCGTCAATGTTATAATATGAGCCGAAACCAATTTGTCAATAAATATATCAATTACATAAGAAAGTGGCTGCTATGTAATTTGATTAATGCAAAAGCTGACTATTAACATGACACATTTTTCTCACTTTCAAATGAGAAAACAGAAAGAAAGTTGAGGCATATCTTAATATAGCATAAAAGTAGAAACATTTTTATGAATTTGGACGTGACCATTGAAGAAATTATTGAACTAGGAATTGTAGAGCTTTACCCCTAAGGGAACTCTTCCAGAAATTCTCGAAGGCCCAAGACAAGCTTAGGCCTAGGAGGGGGTTTGGAAGTAGTTTTCAACAAGCAATAGACGCACCTCGGTTAAGACCTCATTAGCTGCGTCATTGCCCCAAGCGCAAGGATGATTTTGAAACGAAAGAGAGGCCCTTTATTTATAGCCAAACAGAGCCTATCAAGCTAATATATACTTCCGATGTGGGACCTTTTGTGTACCAAATCACATAACGCAAAGTCGCAATACTACCGTTGTTGCTTTGTGGGATTATTGCATACGTCATTAAGTTCTCGAAAACAAAAAGTTTCTCAGCGGAAGCAAAAAGACTCAAAGACTGATATTAAATGGTAGGGGCTGCGCGAACGCAAACCCCCTCTGCCACAAATAATGACATAGGCTCTTCCTCAAGGGAAGACCTTAAGCATAGCACCCCAACAGTATGTGCAATGCGGTCACTAGCCTAGGCCACTCGTCTTATTGATCGCGAGTCGACCCTGTCCAGGTAAGTGATTTGCTCGAGCCGTCCACTTCTCTATATATACTCCTGCTTCCCCAGTCATTGCTTTGGGTGTAAGCGATGTGGGACTTCTTAATATCATCAACACATTACACATCGTGCTGGTTTCTTTTCAACGGTATGAATTTTTGTCTTGATTATTAACATGGGCTGGATGCTCTAGGCCCAATTAAGTGGTTGAAACGACGGTGAAAACGTTTTTTACAAACAGAAAATTATTAACATTGCCAGGCACAAAAAAAAAAAAAAAACACATTGCCAGGAGACTGTAAAAACAGTTTTTAAAAGACAATACAGAAAAATGTGAATTTGGGATAGGAGATACAGATATTATCAGGATTTAGGCTAATATCAGAGTGAAATGACCATGCTTAATAAAATATATATTTATTCATTTAGTGTCTGTATGAAACTCTTACATTTTCGCATCCCGAATGTTGCAGTCAATCTGCAAGGCTATAGTATGCCTAAATTAACAAAATAGGTATCAGCCATTTCAAAATACCAAAAGAACTTACAAAACATGAAGTTTTCATTAGCTAAAATATGCCTACAATAACAGAATAGGCATGAGCCATGGTAAGGGTTTCTAGTCCTTATTTAAGTTATCAGGCTTCAGAAATTTTGGGATTCTATCAGTGGCTCCAGATTTGTGATCATAGTACTCCACTGCAGCTGCTCCAGCCAGAGCGGCTAATGTCAGCGCCTGAGCATGCAACCTGACAATATGATAAAAATCTGTGAGATACCAAATGTCAAATAAGAAGAATTGAGAGATCATCATACATATAGTAAAGAACCAATCTATGAAAATTTTAGAACTGTAATGGTCACATTTGTGTTACATATCCAACACCCCAAGTACATGTATTTAAGCACAAAACACGCATACGATTAGCTGTTGTTACCAATTGATTTGTCTAGCAATAAGGCCCAGCTAATACAATGAAGAACAACACGAACAAGCGATTTTAATTCACTTAAAGAATCTAAGGAAAAGAATTAGAGTACCCCCTAATTGAAGGCTCATGCTTTCTCTACCATTAGTGTTCTTTAACGTAATTGTTTGTGGTTAAGCAAAATGTTGTTATATGAGAACACATAACTAAGTTGCTTTGATGTTCATTAAAAGGAGATAAGAACCAGGTTCTTCAATTGAATGATCTATATAGCTTAAGCCATTGATAACTTCTATCATCTAAGAACGTCTATATACCAAAATCAAAAGAAACATTTAGGAGCACTAAGATAAGAAAATTTTACCTAGCGTGGATGATTCTGACACTGGTTTTCATGGCAGGTTTTGACCAGTTATAGGCGATTGAACCAGAGATACCACTAAGCCATAAACAACCTATCAAAAATCCAATTCAGAAACAACAAATTTTATCAGAACAGAACACAAAAACTCATACATGCATCATCATCTCCAATGTTACGAAACCAAATCGGCAAAAAATGGTGAAGCAAAGAAGAAATTCGATTTTGGAAAGGAGAAAAAAAAAAACCCTAAAGTTATCAAAATTGAGATAATTTAGATCCAAAACTTTGGATCTGAGGATTTATTCAGATCTATAATAACGATGAACCAACACGAACATTCTCCCGAAACTCGATTCGTGTACGCTACGAGAAAATTTGTTATACGATGAACACAAAGGGAATAAGAGGAGGAAGAGTGAGATTACCAACGGTACGAAGCTTGTGTTCGACGATCCATTCCCTGACTTCTGCAAATTTTGTCTTTGATTCTGCCATTGTTGAAGAAGATGAGAGAAAAATTAAGAATTGGGAGAGAAGAAAGAGCGTCGGGCGTTGGTTTTAAAGCGGTAAATTCTGAGGAAGAGAAAGCCAATTTCCTAACTTGCGCTTCATTTCGCTGATTCGTGTTTTTTTTTAATAAAGTGTAATTTTTTTTTTTTTTTTTCAACATTCCTTAATTGACTTTTGTTATTTTATTTCAACGCTAGTTGATTAAAAAAGCCATCGAACATATAAAAAATCTTTTTGTTTGGTTAAATTTCCAAAGAGTGGCAAAACCACACCGAATTTAAAGAACTTGAAACGTCTATGGCTAAGAAATCCAACCAGAACAACAAAATGATTTAAAAAAAATGCTAAAGCTTAACAGCAATTTTCATGCCAAAACAGACTCACTCTTACACTGATAATGCTCATGGGCTTCTTTCTTCATGGTTGCGCATCAGTATTCATCAGTCATCATCAACGATAATTCGACATCTCCGAGAACGTTTTGTGAGTTTATTAAGATCCTCGTAGACATCTGAATTTGATGCATATCGAGGGTAGTCTATGAAACTCAGAGTGAGTTTCTTGAGGACTGCTGAGTTTTCAAGAAAGTACTTCGCTATTATCATCTCCTCTTCCTCCCATTCAAACAATCCTTTTATCTCAACACATTCGAGAGTCGATATGAAACACCGAGGCACATTTACGAGATTCAGCTCCTCCGTCTCGTCATCCTTTGCAAAAGCAATCTTCTGCAAACACCAAAACAAAGGCCGGGTAATTATACACATCAACAATACCAAAATGCATGTTGTTACGGCAAAATCGCAAAAGGTTTTACCAGGATTAGGATTTTCAGATTCGGGAAACTCTCAAGAAAGGCTGGCAAAAACGGTAGCAAGGGGCTCGGGAACACAGCCTGTAAACGGGATAAGTTATTGAATTTGGGAATCGATCCTACTTTTGAGTAACTATCAAGGGCCTGCAACAAGAAGAGAGGAAAAAAGATACAAGTAAGAATTTTCCAATTAGACAAATTTCAGGAATAGTTGTCTGCGAGATGAAATATATATATACCTTCACTGTTTTCTTAGAGATGATCATATGTCTTGCACGAGATATCCCAGTGAGAAAATCAAGGATTTCATTTGTCTTCCATAAGTCCTCTGGATCAAAACTACTGTCATAATTGACAACAAACTTGATATCAAGGTCAATCATGAACAAAGAAGTCAGGTTCTTTACTATGATTTTCTCGAAATGGTCTTCTTTGAGAGTCATAGACTCTAGTCCTGGAGCATCAATCTCAAGTACTGTGTCTAGGACTCTTGATCTACAAAAACTTCCATATGTGAGCGGAACATAAAACGTCTTCAGACTCCAAGATCTCACACGGGTAAGCGCAACCACCAATTCATCCTCATCAAGATACCTTACCAAGGTCAGTTCTTCAAGAACAGGACATCCAGAGACAAGCTTTTCAAGATGCATAGTACCAGACCATCGAATTTCCTGAAGAAACATGACTTTAAGACAAGGCATATAAACAAAACCCGGATCCCTAAGACCCGAACACGAGAGCTTTAAAGAAACCAATGTCTTGCTCGTAAACAGATTCAGAGGCATGAACTCGAAATAAGGATACATAAAGCCGTCATCCTCTCGATATTCGGTACTGCTCACAGCATCAAGAAGTCGAATTCCGCGGTTAATCGCTGTACCGATCCGATCCTTGAACCCAAGTATCTCACGCCTACTGTAATCTACCTTGAATTTTTGCAGGCGTGACTCAGGATTAAACTCTAAAAACCTGTCGATGAAGTTAATAAACACTTCTTCATATTCTTCATCTTGATCAGGTAAATCACGGCAGTTCAAGTCAAGTCCGGGAACATTTAGCCATAGATTCTTCCATCTAGTAGATAAAACACTCGTCTTCACCGAATCTTTAGTCGGAAGGCATAAGAGTATTTGAGTAATCAAAGATTCCGGTAATTCGCTGATTCTATCAAACCCAGGCATCACGAGACACAAAACCCTAAGAGCATGAACATACAACAACAATGTAACTTGATCGAATCCTAGGCGTATAATTATATAAATCAATTAAAATCAAGTAACGTTTACGAAAGACTCACCGTGGATTTGATTCTCCGGCGAATTATCGACCGGAGTTCTGGCTTCAGAGGCTAAGTGATAAACGCTGGTATCGATCATTTTGACTCAAAACCCTCATTTTAGTATTTATACCAGTACTCGAAGCAGCTCCAATTCCAATTGCGTTTCGAAAAAAAAATGGTTGCCAGTATTATTTCTTAAACGCAATTCCAAAAAACGCGATCTATAAGTAACTTTTTGAAATAAATACTAGTTTTCACAAGTATTTACAATAAAATATCATTAGATTTAATTCTTAAGATTTGCAAAATTAAATAGAAGATACAGTATTAACAAAACAATTTGAATCCTAAATTGTCTCTTAAAACTTATTTTTCCATACCTACATTCGCTCATTTGCTAACTACCATTTAAAAAATAATAATTAATTCTAACAATAATCGTTTAAAGCTAACAATAATCGTTATTTAGCTGATATTTAAGAAAATAGAAACTAATTACTCCACATATATCTCATCAGTATTCATTGTTTAGCTACATAAAAGTAAGAATATTTAAGAAACTATAAACTACTTACTCTACATATATCCAAGATTCTTGGTATTTCCTTATCTATAATTCATATAATGGATCAAATATATCTTCGATCCCAACTACATCTTATGTCTCAACTAATTAGTACTATCAATCTCTTAATATATGGCATATTCCTTGCATTTATAATAAATCCGAGATTTTGTTCCATATATGTTATTGTTACATAGATATTATACTTCTTTAGCAAGATTTTCATCACTAACTAACGTGTATCGAAATTTACATCTTAAACCACTATAAATAGAGGCATTATCTACGTCTTCTAAGAGCATCCACAATGGTGCATGTGGGTGGATGTGTGTTAACAATATATTTATTATAATTTTTTTAAGAGAGAGAGATTTGGTTAGTGGAGAAACAGAGAGGAGAGAGAAAGAGATAGATTTATTATTTTCCATTTTTAAAATAGTCACATTCGGATGTTAGTTTACATCCATATTTTGTCTCAACACCTCTAAATCTATTATTTTCAATTTTTAAAATAGTGACACCCTTAGCAAAGGTGTGCCACTGCGTATGGTCTAAGGTTATCATATTCGTGTCCGTCTCCAATTAATTCGTCATCGGGTCGTAAAAAGATTAAAAACCCTAATTTCTTTCTTTTATTGGTTTTAGTATTAAAAGATTAACCCTAATTTCTATTGTAGAAGAAACATAAACCCTACTCTATTGTTTTAGTAGATTAGGAATCTAAGTTTATCGAATCCTAGGCGTTGATTCTTGCGTATAAGTTTACCTGATTTACCGGACTACTTATTCTTATTAACTATACTTACTAAAATTAAATATTTCTTTAAATAAAAGCTTCTATATAAAAATTCTATATATTAAATTATTATATTTTTAATTGAAAAAATAAATAATTTCAACATAATTTCAACACTAGCATATTCTATCATATATTATTAAATTTTAAATTAAAACTGTAAATTTATAAGTCTAAATTTATGAATGAAGTAAATACAATTTTATTTGTATATAAATATAAATATTGAATAATATTGTTAATATATAAAAATATTTTTAAGATACTCGCTTTTAGCCAAAATATCTTATAAAAAGAAACTGAGTAAGTATATATGTTAGAGTGAAAGGCTACCCAAGTAAACTATTTGCGTCTTTTGTTTGTCTTTTTAAAAATCCTTTTTATTTTAAATTTGTATGTGTGCTTTTTTTTTTCTTTTTTTGGGGAGGGAGACGTATTATCATAAGAAATTAAAAGAAATTACATTCAAACATCATCCAAACATGTCTTGGGCATGTAGCCCCTCCAACACATCCAACATAATTGAATTAACACAATCTGGCCTAAAATCAAATAAATGAAATCCTAAAAGCAAGAAAAAACATAGTTTGCTAACCAATCTGCAACACGATTAGCTTATCTATACACATGTGAGATACAAACTATCCAATCTTTTGATATAAAGTCATAGCACAAACCTACTAGGAAAGACAGTGGGTGAGAATCACTGATCACGGTCTTAAGAAAATCAACCACAATCTTCGAATCCACTTTCAACTCCACTCGCGTCACTCTTCTTTTCCAAGCAACATAGAAACCATAGTAAATCGTCCCATAGTTCCGCTAGAGGTGCATAACATATGCCAATATTAACTGAGAACCCTCTATAGGACCACTCACCCTTATGGTTTCGTAGGACTCCACCCGCAGTTGCTAAGTCCGGGTTCCCACGTGATGCCCCATATGTATTTACCTTCATCCATCCATCTCCCGGTGGGATCCAAGCAATCAACCTTTCAATTCTCTCCATATTTCTAGTCGGTCCCCCAAAGATAATTGCGAGTCAGCCACCTCTTTTGCCAGATCTTTGATTAATTTTATTTTGTTTCTACACTTTATGTTTTCCCCAAACACATTACCACAACTCCACTTCCATCTCCACCATGACGTTATAGAAAAGAGCATGGACCTTAACGTGTCCCCTGACATTCCTGCCTCCACATGTTACCATAAAGCCACTCAAACAAGGTTTGGGTAAAGAACATATTGGCATTTCTCGAACTAACCAGTCGGTTCCATATACCTGACATCGTCGGGCAATCCCTTAACACGTGTAGAATGGTTTTCTCTCCTCCCTTACAAACCTGATATATGCCCGAATCACAGAGATGGCGCCTACATCTTTCCGCATTCGTCATGATGGCTTGATTCATAACTAAATGTGTGCTTCATTTAATCAATCATTGATTTAGCGTTCTTTTATCATACACTTCTTGTCAAGCTTTTCATTCATCTCTTTCAATATTTTTTCAAGCTTTCCCTACAATTTTTTCTCCTTCCAAACTTTCATTACCTCTTCATACACATGTCTCCTTCTCTTCAGCTACGGTCACCAGTTTTCTGATTTGATTTTTGTATGATCTCTCTGAGCTTTAAAGACTAAGACCATCTCCAATGTATTTTCCTATTTTTAGCTCTATCTTTATAATAGAGGTAAGTTTTCTCTATTTTTACTCCAATGTGTTTCTCTATTTTTTCTTCTAAAAAGTTTAACTCTATTTATAGGGGAAAAAATAGAGATTCTTTATTCTCACCTCTATATATAGAGAATAAAATAGAGATCTCTATTTTAGAGGTGAGAATAGAAGTGAGTTGGATTAGATTTGCCTCTAAAATAGAGTTTAGAAGCAAATATAGAGGTGGGTTGGAAATGCTCTAATACGAGACTTTGCATGTAGGAAACAAGCTTTATTTGAGCCACCCAATCATAATTAAAAGCGAGAGTAATAAGAAGTTGTATCGTTTTGACATAAGATTTCGTAATGATTAAATTGTTCTCCAACTAAACACCGGAGTCAAAGCTTCTTTCACTAAAAGAGAAAATTTTTAAGTTTCTTTTACATCTTGTTTCTAAAATAATCTAAAGATTACCAAACCCACAAGATGATGAACAATGATAAAAAATTAAGTTATATTAATAATGAATACACCAGAATTTCAAAAGAATCCTTAACGAGTTTAGATCACTTAGTTTCTGACTAACACAAAAGAGGTGGAGAGTTTTAATTCTTTAATTAAGATCCCAAAAAAAACAAACTCTTTACGAACACAATCATGTGAGCTTGCGTTTGCGAGTTTTGATCTCCTTTATCATGTGAGCAATCCCTTCTTTAAGTGTTGCTTTCCTCTCTTGTTCGAAATTCCACAGTACCGGAACAGTGTACCGACCACTCGGGTTAAACTCGTTCAGTTCCACAAGTGCTGTCTTAACTGCGTTCTTCACTTCTTCTCCCCACTCTTTTCTCAGATTCTTAAGTTTCTCATCTTCTTCATCCACCACTTCCTGCACCATCATAACCATGTAACTAACATGCACCAGAATCAAGATATCTAATACGAGAGAGATGAAAGTAACTGAACTAAACATGAGACAGAACAAACCTTCATTTTTTCTCCGGTTCCGACACGTTTGAATGGATACCATGATGGATCCTTGAGTGTTTTCTGCCATTTCGAACAAAGCATGGCTTGTTCCAACTCAACGTTTTCACCACTAAATCTCTGTCTACACACTTTCAAGAAAGGCTTTTCATCAATTTCTCCCATTCTTTTTACTCCAATGGTGGGTGATCTATCACCTGATAAATCTCTCAATCCCTACACAAACAAAAAATAGACTTATATGTGAAAGTGAAACCCACAAAACATATATCATCAACACACTCAAGCAAGAACATGAAAATATAGTTATTACCCTAATCGATTCTTTGCGTGCTTCTTGTATCTCATCATTGCTTTGACGTTCTTTAATAAGTAAGACTGAGTTCATATCCTCTAATTCTTCTAACTCACAACGCTCCTCTTCCAGCTTCTCGTTCATCTCCTTCATTACTTTCTTCAGCTCTTCATTCTTCTCCTTCATTACTTTCTTCAGCTTTTCATCTTTCTCCTTCATTACTTTCTTTAGCTTTCCATTCATCTCCTTCGTCACTTTCTTCAGCTCGTCATTATTCTTCTTCTATTAAGGATATTTTCCTATATTGTAGATATTATCAAATCTCATATGTATATTTTGCTTTGTCTCCAAGCTATTAGTTTAGGGTTTTCGGTTTCTTAGGAATGTATAAATACTTGACCTTAGGGTCCATGAAATACAAGCTGAATATTATTCAATTCTCTACTTTGACATGGTATCAGAGAACGAAAACTTTTTCTAAATCACAATCACGAATCTTCTTCCCCTTTGCCTCTCGGCATCTTACTCTCACGTTTAAAGCCTCTCGGCTTCTTCTTATCTGTTTTAATCTCTAAGCCTCTCGGCTTCTTATTCTCTGTTTCAAAATCCTAGCCTCTCGGCTTTATCTTCTCTGTTTTCTCGATCTCTACTCTATTTTCCGGTTTTAAAACAGAGCCCTTTGATTCACGATGGCTTTGGCTACTACAAACCCGAAACATAAGACCATCTCTCCTTATGATTTGACAGCGACTGATAACCCGGGAGCTGTGATTTCTTAACCTCTTCTCAATGGACTCAACTACGACGAATGGGCCTTGAATCTGCGTATGGCTCTCAGCTCACGCAAGAAGTTTGGCTTCCTTGATGGAAGCATATCTAAACCAGCCAACGATGCTCCTGAATTCGAAGACTGGACGGCTAACAATCATTTGATTGTCGGATGGATCAAACAAACAATTGAACCGAAGATCAGATCAACGATCTCAGCTCGTGAAATTGCCAAAGATCTCTGGGAAATCATCAAGAAACGCTTCTCTGTTAAAAGTGGAGCACGACTACAACAGCTTCGTAACTCATTGTCTAGTTGCAAACAGAACGGGTCTACGGTCGACGAATACTTTGGAAGATTAACAAAACTCTGGGATGGAATTGCAGAATGTATGAATTCAAAACGTTGCAGTCGTGGCAAGTGTGAATGCGATCTCAATACGGCTCGGGACAAGGAACTTGAGACTCTCCGAGTTCATGACTTTCTTTCGGGACTTGACGACTCCATTCATGGTGCAATTCGATCACAGATTTGTGCTATTACTCCACTTTCCGATTTGGATACGGTGTATCAAACGATTTCCCAGAATGAAACAATTCGCTCGAATGTAACCAATGAAGCTGTTGTGATGGGATTTGCCTCACAAGTCTCTGGTCTGAATACTTCTCCCTCGATATTTACAAGCGATGTTACAAAACGGAACACAAGCTTCACTGGTTCTTCTCGGTTTGGTCCAGGGAACCGCGATCCGTCTCGTAAATGCTCTGGCTGCGGGCGTATGGGACATGAGGCCTCTTCCTGCTTCCAAGTTGTGGGCTATCCAGACTGGTGGGGAGATAGACCACGACATAGACCTGATCCTCGAAGCACACAAGGACCTCTAGCAGGACGCGGACGTGGAACAAGTCCTCGTGCAAATCTCACACAGATTATCAATGCTAACTCTGCGGCTGTTGGATCTTCGGAAATCACGGACAGCGATCAACAAGGTTTACTGGGAATTACTGATGATCAATGGAAGATTGTTCAGAAAGTGATCAATGCGGGAAAGGCAACAGATCAATTAAGTGGTAAGACAAATGAAACTTCTTGGATTTTAGATACCGGAGCAACGCATCACATGACAGGCCGATGTGATCTTTTGATGAATGTACGTGATATTGCTCCGGTCTCCGTCTTGCTACCCGCTGGTGAAGACGCCATTGCAACGAAACAGGGCACTGTGCAATTAACTTCCCGTATCTCTATCAAAAATGTTTATTTGGTTCCGGGATTTCATATTAACTTGACCTCGTTTTGTCAGCTCGTCACCGATAACTATTTAGTTGGACAAGTGACTGATAAACTTATGATCTTGCAGGACCGCATTACGAGGATGGTGATTGGGTCGGGTGAACGAGAGGGAGAGGGGCTGTACCGGTTTCGTGGAATTGAGACGATGGCAGCCTTGCAAACGAGTGTTACGGAAAATTTGAGTTTGTGGCACAAACGTATGGGTCATCCATCTTCTCGAATCACTGGAATGATCTCGGGAGTCCATGGTGTTTCTAATAATAATAGTGAGCTTTTATTTAAGAGTTGTGATGTTTGTCTACGGGCAAAACAATCTCGTCAGTCTTTTTCGGATAGTTCTAATAATGCAAAAGAAGTCTTTGATTTAATTCATATTGATTTATGGGGACCCTATCGCACTACGGCATTTTGTGGATCACGTTACTTCTTGACTATTGTTGATGATTATTCTCGGGCGGTGTGGCTTTATCTACTAGCCGATAAGACTCAAGTTTCACGATATGTACAAGACTTCTTAGCATTAATCGAGTGCCAATTTTCCAAGAAAGTGAAATCTATACGAAGTGATAATGGGAGTGAGTTTATGTGCCTTACTAAGTTCTTCCGCATGCAAGGAATAGTTCATGAGACTTCGTGTGTACACACTCCGCAACACAATGGCCGTGTCGAACGCAAGCACCGCCATATTTTGAATGTTGCTCGAGCTTTGCGGTTTCTAGCAAATTTACCAATTGACCATTGGGGAGAATGCATACTTACTGCTGGCTATATTATTAATAGGACACCTTCTCCATTGCTTCAAGGTGCATCTCCGTTTGAGAGATTATACGGGCATTCTCCTTCATATTCACATCTACGGGTCTTTGGATGTCTTGCCTATGCTCATAATCTTGATCATAAGGGTGACAAGTTTGCTTCAAGAAGTAGGCGTTGTGTGTTTTTAGGCTATCCATATGGCAAGAAAGGATGGAAACTTTATGATCTAGACCGTGAAGTTTTCTTTGTATCTCGTGATGTTCGGTACTTAGAAGATACTTTCCCGTTTGCTTCTCCTACCACGACTTCTCTCTCCAAAGACACAGAAGTGTTAACTCCGGTGATCGGAGTTATTCCGGTTGAAGATGATCCTAGTCCGTTGCATCATGAGGCTGAGAATCAGGTTGACTCCACGATTACATCTCCGATTCCATCCCCAGAGATACATAAGGACTCTGTTATTGAAGAAACTGATGTGTTAGAAGACACTCCGACAGTTGTTGAGACTCAGGCCGGCACGGAGACAGTTTTGATTGAAGAATTAGGACAAGGCAAACGACCTAAATTTCCAAATGTCCGTCTCCATGATTATGTTATTAGTACAGTGTCAGTTGCTCCGCCTCCTCTCTCTCTCACGTCACCCTCTCCACAGCCATCCTCATGTTCGTGTTATCCCTTATCTGATTATGTTTCTTGTGAGAAATTTTCTGTTAAACATCGCAGTTACTTGGCGGCTCTTACTACCAACGTTGAGCCGCGCTCGTTTGCGGAAGCAATGAAACATGAGGTGTGGAGAAATGCTATGGGTTCCGAGGTGGATGCATTGCAAAGAAACCATACATGGGATCTTGAAGAACTACCGCCGAATAAAAAGGCGCTGGGTAGTAAATGGGTGTTTACGATTAAGCTCCGCTCGGATGGTTCGATTGAAAGACATAAAGATCGTCTTGTTGTCCTTGGCAACCATCAAAAAGAGGGTATTGATTATACGGAGACATTTTCACCTGTGGCTAAGATGACCACGGTTCGCATGTTCCTAGATTTCGCTGCCAAGAAAAATCATGAAGTTCACCAAATGGATGTCCACAACGCATTTCTTCATGGTGATCTTCATGAGGAAGTCTACATGAAATTACCACAGGGTTTTTCGTCTCCCAACGAGACTCGTGTATGCCGTCTCCGTAAGTCATTATACGGGTTGAAACAAGCGCCACGTTGTTGGTTTGAAAAGCTAGTGGATTCTCTTCTCAAATACGGTTTTTCTCAAACCAAATCCGACTACTCTTTATTTTTCTATTCGAAGAACGGCATTTCTCTCCGTATTTTGGTCTATATAGACGATTTGATTATCTCTGGAAATTCACAAGAAGAAATCAAGACATTCAAGAATTATTTGTCTACATGTTTTCATATGAAGGATCTTGGATTTTTGAAATATTTTTTGGGGATAGAGGTAGCTCGGAATTCTTCGGGATTTTATTTATGTCAGCGTAAGTATGCTACCGAAATTGTTGTTGAAGCTGGTCTCCTTGGTTGTAAACCGGCTGGCTCTCCAATCGACCAAAATCACAGCCTCTCTCTTCCGAAGGGTGCCCTGCTCGAAGATCCGCACACGTACCGCCGACTTGTTGGACGTCTTGTTTATCTTCTTGCTACTCGACCTGACCTTACGTACGCAGTCCATGTGCTTTCTCAATTTATGCAGTCTCCACGAGAGGATCATTGGCTTGCAGCGTTGAAGGTAGTCCGATATCTTAAGGGGACTCTTGGACAAGGAGTACTCCTTCGTGCAGACTCACCATTTCACTTAACCGGCTGGTGCGATTCCGATTTTTCAACGTGCCCGCTGTCACGACGCTCCTTGACGGGCTGGTTTGTTCAACTCGGCTCTTCTCCGATTTCATGGAAATCTAAGAAGCAAGATGTTGTTTCTATGTCTTCGGCGGAGGCTGAATATCGTGCCATGAATGCTGTTACTAAGGAGCTCAAATGGCTCAAAGAACTCCTTCAAGATCTTGGCTTTGATCATCAAGAACCGATGACGATTCGATGTGATCGTAAGGCGGCTATTCATATCAGTTCCAATCCGGTGTTTCACGAACGTACTAAACACATTGAACGTGATTGTCACTTTGTTCGTGATGAAGTCCTCAAAGGCAATGTCAAACCTATTCATGTGTCTACAACGGTGCAACTAGCGGATATTCTTACAAAGGCGTTGGGACGCAATGAGTTTGATGCTTTTCTTCTCAAGTTGGACATTCGAAACTTACATGCTCCAACTTGAAAGGGGGTATTAAGGATATTTTTTTATATTGTAGATATTATCAAATCTCATATATATATTTTGCTTTGTCTCCAAGCTATTAGTTTAGGGTTTTCGGTTTCTTAGGAATGTATAAATACTTGACCTTAGGGTCCATGA